GTTGAGCTGCACGACGTGACCTACCCACCCGTTGAAGCTAGCGGTGTTGCGACCCACGGAGGTAGCGAGCCCCCAGCTGAAGTGGTGGGACGTCTGTTCGCGGGTGACGGGTCTGGGGGTGCGAGTGCTAAGGGCCCAAGGCTTCGGAGATGTGCCTGGGCGTGGGTCGAGCTCAACCCGAGGTCTCTGGAAGCGGAGGTCGTGCGTCGTAGGAGCGCCCCCCTGGCTGATCGTAGGCAGACTTCCAACAGAGCTGAGCTTTGGGCTCTCCTCGATTGCGCGCAGCAAGTTTCGGACGATTTGACCTTTTTGTGTGACTCGGCCTACGTTGTCCGAGGCTGGTTCAAACATCTGGCGGGCGGCATGCTCAAGTCTAACCTCGATTTGTGGTTTTCCCTGGCCCAGGTCGCCGAAACCAGGACCCGAGGGATCATTTTAATTAAGGTCGAGAGCCATGTGAGCGAGGATAGATACCGCGCACTTGGTCTCCCCGAACTGTTTCGTCTTGCGAATATCGAGGCCGATCGGATCGCCGATTGGGAAGCTGGGATGTGCCAGATTGACCCTGACACAACCCAGAGTGTTATCGCTCTCGACGCTCTCGCCGAGCAAGTCCGTCTCCGTCTTGCTTCCACTCTCATTGCTTCTGCCCCTCATGACAGTCGCAGTCAGAGAGAGAGGGCTAAGCCCCTCAAGGGAGTTCGGAAAGCTGGCCTGAGTAAGTTAGAGAAAGCGGTCCAGAGTTCCCCGCATAAGAACGGCCTTCAGTTTTTGGAATCGCGGTTTCGTTGCAGGTTGTGCCACCAGAAGCCCTCCAAGGAGGGGGTTGTGGATTGGCTCTCGACCCCGTGCAACCCCTTTGATTATGGTGCTGCCCCCTCCTCCTCCAGGTCCGCCCCGCTCCAGATCGGGAGTCAGATTGTCCACCCGTCCCACGCCGCCCGTTTTTTTGAGCACGCCGACTGCTGGGCGTGCACTACATGCGGGGGCCTCGGTATGGACCGATCGATCCTGCTGTTGGCCCAGCCTTGTGGCCCCCTCTCTAAGAAGGGGGCCGAGAATCTCAGCAAGCTGGAGAGGGGCCTCATGCCAGGCGCGAGCGCGCGGGCCAAGGCTTTCAACAAGGCCAAGGCCCGCCCCGCCTGCAGCGGAGGAGTCCCCGCCCCCCCCCCTCCTCCCCCTCCCCTTTGAGCTCATTGGAGCCCTCGGTGCAAATCCTCCTCCTCCTCCTCCTCCTCCTTCCTCCTCCTCCTCCTCCTCCTCCTCCTCCTCACTCCTCCTCCTCCTCCTCCTCCTCCTCCTCCTCCTCCTCCTCCTCCTCCTCCTCACTCCTCCTACCTCCTCCCCTCCTCCTCCTCCTCCTCCCCCCTCCTCCTCCTCCTCCTCCTCCTCATCCTCCTCCTGCTCCTCCTCCTCCTCCTCCTCCTGCTCCTCCTGCTCCTGCTGCTCCTCCTCCCTCCTCCTCCTCCTCCTCTCCTACCCTCCTCCTCCTCATCCTCTCTCCTCCGCCTCCTCCTCCACCTCCTCCTCCTCTCCTCCTCCTCCTCCTCCTCTCCCCCCCCCCTTGACGAGTGCCCGGAGAGGAGGGGCCCGGCGGCGCGGACGGGCCCCTCGTGGCGGCCGTGGCTTGGAGCGCGGCCGCCGGGGTCCACGAGGCGGGCGCTCCGCGCGGCGCGGCGCTGGAGCTGGTGCACCGCGTGCACGCGCTGCTGACAGCCGGGGGGCAGAGGTAGGGGAAGAAGCCTCCCCCCCTCGCTCGCCTTCCTCCTCCTCCGCCTCCTCCTCTCCTCGCCTTCCTCCTCCTCCTCCCCCTCCTCCTCCTCCACCTCCTCCACCTCCTCCTCCTCCTCCTCCTCCTCTTCCTTCCTCCTCCATCGCCTCCTCCTCCTCCCTCCTCCTCCTCCTCCTCCTCGCCTTCCTCCTCCCCTCCTCCTCCTCCTCCTCCTCCTCCTCCTCCTCGTCGTCCTCCTCCTGCTCCTACTTTTGCTCCTCCTCCTCCTCCTCCTCCTCGCCTTCCTGCAGTCCTCGCTCTCCGCGCCTCGGCGGCGAGCGAACAAGCCTCCCCCCTCGGCGGCGAGCGAGGGGGGAGGGCGGGGAGGGCACGCGAGAAAGTTTCGCCTTGGAGGTTCGAGGCCTCGGGGCGTTTTGTGCCGGTGCCCGGCGACTCTCCCGCCTCGGGGTGCGCCCCGGCCGCTGCGCCTCGCCGAGGGCGTTCCAGGGGTGCCCCGATCGTTCCGAGCGGCCGCCGGGGGCCCGCGGTGTGGCCCGAGAACCAAACTCGGCGGCGCGCGGAGGGGGGGGGAGTGAGCAAGGGCTCCCACGAGGGTGCGAAGTTATTCGCGCTTCGCGCTTCGCGGTCCTCGTTCCTTCTCCTCCTCCTCCTTGTCCTCCTTTTCTCCCTTTGGGGGGGTGGCGCGAGAGCGCGAAGTTATTCGCACTTCGCGCTTCGCGCAGCGCGAAGCGCGAAGTTGGGAGCCCTTGGTGAGAAGGAGAAGGCCTTCTCAGAAGATGGCGGGGCTTCTCGGAAGCCCTGGCGCCTTCTGGAAAATGTTCGGTGCCTTCGCGGAGAGCTCGGGCAACCTTTCAGAAGCCGGGGGACTTCCGAGCCTTTCGAGAAGGCCCGCCCCCTCTCATTTCCCACCAGGGCTGGCCCAGCGTCTTCGAACCAACCTGCTGGAAGGTTGGCCCAGTTCCTTTTGAGCACGTTCGCCCCCTCCAGCGCGTTAGCGGCAGAACTTGGTCCCCAGGCTTGCTTCAAGAAACGTCCCGGAAGCTGGCCCAGAGTTCTTGAATGCTGGTTCTCTTGATCACAGCGTCGGGCGTAGGAGGGCAAACTCTACCTGCTTCTAGAAGACGAATATCTGGGGCCTAAGCCAAATACCGCTTTCACTTTCCAGCTACAGGCGTCTATGGACACACTGGGAAGTGATGCAGGGTGACGATTAAGACATTACCGGGGATCGTGTTCACGTGGCGGCGCCCTGGATGATGAACAGAGCAACGGGCTCCGGGCTGGGAAACCACACTTTAATTGTTCCCCCCGCCCTCCTCGGGCGCGCGCCTAGATAGTCGACGGGCCAGACGGAGCCGAAGCGAAGCGAAGCTGCACAGACATTTTTTCCCGAGCGTCCCACCCTCCACGGGGGGGAGCAGCTGTCGAGCCCCGTCTGGAGAAAGCAGTCGTCCGGGATCCGAGGCCAGGCCAACCTCCTGCCGACGGCACCACCCGGCCAAGCAGGCGCCAGAGCACCCCTCAGCGCGCACGGGCTGGCAGCAATGAGCTGTGGAAGACAAGCTCTGTGCGCCAAGCTCGGGTCGGGCGAAAGGGGGGGATTGGGAAAGGGGGGGGTACGAAATCTGCTGCATGCAGCTGGTTTCGGCCCCACCGAGGGGCCCATTCCTCGATACATGGCCGCCTCCAGGCGCCGGGAGGCGCTGGGAAAATCAGCTACGTGAGCTGATTCTCAAACCCCCCCTTTGCTATCCCCCCCTTTCCCCGACCCGACAAGCGTGATCGTGAGGGCAAGGAAGTAGGGGAGCCAACGATGACCTAGATCATTTCAACACATCTCCGAGGTCCGCGCGGGTTCCTCGGGTCGGCGCTGGACGCCCACCCCCACCCTCCCTGGCGCGCGCAGAGCGCCAGGGGCGGCGCCGGCGGCCGATCCAGGGAATCCGCGCGGACCTCCGAGGGTTTAATGTTTGGGTCACCTGCTTGTCCCACTAGGGAGGACGAGTGCCCGCCCGTCGCCGAGCCGACTGGACGACGACCCCGACGACGACGGCGACGACTAATGCCGACGACGACGACGACGACGACGACGACGACGGCGACGACGACGACGACGACGACGGCGACGACGACAGCGACCGCGACGGCGACGGCGACGGCGACAACGACGACGTCGTCGTCGTCGTCGCCGCCGCCGCCGCCGCCGGAGCCGCCGTCGTCGTCTCGTCGTCGTCGTCGTCGTCGTCGTCGTCGTCGTCGTCGTCGTCGTCGTCGTCGTCGTCGTCGTTAGTCGTTAGTCGTTAGTCGTCGCTGTTCAGTCGGCAAGGTGACGATCAGAGGAGCCCTGAGATCTGGTCGTTGCTATTTTTTCACGATGGGCATTTCCGCCCGCTTTCGGCCCCCTGGACCATCACAGATCGATCCAGCTCGAAAAAATGCGCAGAAAGATGGGGTCTATGGCTCTGGTCGTGAGTGCTCGCGATGCTGCAATTCTTGACACTTCGCGTATGTCCGCCAGCCCATCCAAACCCTATGTGCCCAAGCAAGTTGCCTTGATCAGGGAAGTGGGGGAGCACGCATTGGGGCGAAAGGCAAGGATGAGGCTGAGGAGGAGGAGGAGGAGGAGGAGGAGGAGGAGGAGGAGGAGCTTGATCAGGGAAGTGGGGGAGCACGCATTGGGGCGAAAGGCAAGGATGAGGCTGAGGAGGAGGAGGAGGAGGAGGAGGAGGAGGAGGAGGAGGAGGAGGAGGAGGAGGAGGAGAGGCGGAGGAGGAGGTGGAGGAGGAGGAGGAGGAGGATGAGGATGAGGATGACGAGGAGGAGGAGGAGGAGGAGGAGGAGGAGGAGGAGGAGGAGGAGGAAAGGAGGAGGAGGAGGAGGACGAGGAGGAGGAGAGGAGGAGGAGGAGGAGGAGGAGAGGAGGAGGAGGAGGGGAGGGGGAGGAGGAGGAGGATGCAGGAGGAGGAGGGGAGGAGGAGGAAGAAGAGGAGGAGGCAGGAGCGAAGGAGGAGGAGGAGTGAGGAAGGAGGTAGCGAGTCAAGCACGAAGTTGACTTTGTTTTTTTTTCTTTATTTGAGGACGCAGGAGGAGGAGGAGGAGGAGTAGGAGGAGGAGGGAGCAGGGGGAGGAGGAGAGCAGGAGGAGCAGGAGGAGGAGGAGGACGAGGCCATTGAGGAGGAGTAGGAGGATGAGGAGGAGGAGGAGGAGGAGGAGGAGGACGAGGAGGAGGAGGAGGGGGAGGAGGAGGAGGAGGGGGAGGCTGGTCCGGATGTCGCCGCCTACCTCTGCTCCCCCACCGGCCGCGGACGCTGGCGACGTCTCGGAGGCGGTGGACCGCCTGTGCGCTGCCGCGGCGGCCTGCTCCGAGGGCGGCCTGCGGCTGGGGGCGGGCCACGCGCTGCGTCTTGCGGTGGCCCGCCAGGGCATGGACGCGGCCATCGCAGCGGAGCCCACGAGCGACGAAACAGCAAACGAGGCATTCCAGAATCCAGAAAGGGCCTCGCGTGGGGGAGTTGCCATCTCGTCCTCGGCGGAAGGGCGGGGAAGGGCGGCGGAAGGGCGGCGGAAGGGCGGCGGAAGGGCGGCGGAAGGGCGGCGGAAGGCGGAGAAGCCAAACGGGGGCGACCCGCCTGCGGAGGCTGGCGGAAGGCTGGCGGAAGAAGGCGGAAGTGAAACAAATGCCCCCCAAAGATGGCAACATTTCTTGAGGTGTCAGGGTTTCGGAACCGGCCACAGGATTCACGAGGTACTTGTAGGGTCAACTTGCAGCGTCCAGGCCCTGGGCAGCAGCGCAGTCCAGAGCGCGTGAGATGCCTGTGGGGGGCGCAGGAGGAAGGAAGGAATGCCTGGGGGTGAGATGCCTGTGGGGGGCGCAGGAGGGAGGAAGCAATGCCTGGGGGAGCTCCGAAGGAGCTTCGAAGGAGCAGCGGAAGTTTTGAGGGCTCGTCCTCACCCAGCCTCGGGGCGCTCTTCCCGCCGCTGCGCCTCGCCGGGAGCGTTACGGGGGGGGGGGCCCGGATCCTCCCGAAACGGCCGCCGGGGGCCAGAGGTGTGGCCCGAGAGCCACCGGGGACGGCGGCTCGGGGGCAACGTCGGGGGGTCGTACGGCCGGGCCGAGGTATGAGATCGAGGTCGGCTCGGGGAGGGTACCCCAGTGATCGTTCTCCTACTCCTTGTTTTTCGCCGATCGGCGCGGGCCCTCGCACACCCCGGCCCCCCCCCCCCCTGTGGAGAAGATCTTTGCTGTTTTTGGCGCTGGTTTCGAGCAGGTGGAGTCTTCCCCAGAGGACGCACTGTTGCAAGCAGTCGCAGTAAGCAGAGGTCCAGCGTCAGACCCCTCCTCCCCCCCCCTTCTGCCCAACGTCGAAACGCCGAATAAGAAAGCGCTCACCTAGTGTGTCCTTCGTGTCTGTCGTGTGTTCTTGTGCGCAGAGCGCAGAGTACCCTCGGTGAACTTGAAGTTTGGGGCCTGGGGTGCTCGGGCTGGCGGAGGGTCTCATGCTCTTGAAGGGTGTTCTTCTGTTGTTGGTCCGGCTGTAGGCTCAGGGGAGGGAGGGAACCAGCCAGATCCCCGACGGTCGGATGTTTTGCCAACGCGGCGCTGTTCCTCGACGTCAGCCTCATCGCTGGGCCCGGGGGGCTCCGGGGTAAACGCCTACTCTCGGGGAGGTGTGCAAAGACCTCTGGGGCGGCGCATTGAGAAAGTGTTGGTTCTGGGGGGGCGCATGGCCTCTCCCAGTCGCCCCGCGTTCGCCGATGAAGGGCCCCGATGGCCCTTCCCGCCCAGGACCGTGTGGATTCGCTGTTGGGGTCGCTTGCCGAGCGGTCGGCGATGTGGCGCCGACTCCAGATCTCGAAGAGGGGGAATCGCCACAAACATAAACTTTTGGTGCTCCGCGCGAATTTCTTGGATCTGCGCGGGGCCCCCCTGGCGGCGCCTCAGGCGCCGCCCCTGGCGCGCTCTGCGCGCCAGGGAGGGGGGGCCCAGCGCGGATGCGAGAAATCCGCCCGGACCTCCACAAGTTTACGTTTACGCAGTTGTTTTTCGACCAGAAAAATATGGGAAAATCTGGGAAGTGGGGGGGAAGACGAAAACCCAGAAAACATCATATAGTGGATCTAAGGATTTGTGCGTATTTATTAGTGTGTCCCTGGGCCCTTTCAAAAAGTGTATGTTGATGCGGTGCTTCGTTCTTCCAAGATCGATGTTTTTTCCCCTGAGCCGGCGCCCTCCTGACGTTGCCTATCAGATTTTAGGCGTTGCAGCCCAGGGGATCTGGGCGATGCAGTTTGTGCATGCGGGTTTTCTCGCCCGGTTTCGGGCTCCAGGGCCATCACAGATCGACCCTGCTTGACGAAGGCCGCAGGAAGGCTTGGTCTATTCAGACATTCGATGCCATTTAACATGTTGCATGTCTTGCATGTTTTGTAGAGGCCACTACATGCCGCTGAAAGCCACTACAGGCTCATAAAGGCTGCGAGAGGCCACGAAAGGCAGCTCAAAGGTCAATACAGGAGGCTACCAAGAATACGCTCAAGGCCGCCAGAGGCCACGAAAGGCTACCACACCGAGGCGGTGAATGTTGGAATGCGCCTCCAAAAAGACTCACCTGAGATATTTGGGCGCGGTTCGTGATTTGCGCGATTCTGCAGATCTCTCTAGCGGCGCCAGGGTTCCGGGGATGCGGGCGGCGTGCCTGCCTGGGGGCCGCTGGTAACATCGCTCTGGGGTTGCAAAGGCTCGGGGGCGGCCGCGAGGGGAGGGGGTCGACTACGGTCGACATCGATGGCAAGGATGATCGACTTCCCAAAGGGTACCCACTGCATCCTTGCCTCCTCGGTCCGTCCTTTGCGTCCAAGGCCCTTACATCCTTATCGCGCGTCCTTGTGATACAGGCCGGCTGTCAGGAGGACGGACTTCCCTAGGGTACCCATTGCATCCTTGCCTCCTCGGCATGTCCTCGGCCACTTCCGAAGGCCCGCCGCGCTCGAAAGGCGTCGACATCGGTCAGCGACTACTTCCGAGGGCCCGCCCCGCTCGAGAAGCTTCGACGTGTGCGCCCAATGGGGCCTGCAGCTTCCTCGCGCCTCCCTGCTCTCGGTCTGGATGACAGCCGAGCCGGGGAGCGACGCTCGGGGGCGGCCGCGAGGGGAGGATCGACTCAGGGGGGCTCTGGACGGCATGGCTCGGGGAACAATGACATCTCCGCCCCGCCCCCCCTTCCTCCTGCCCGCCCTGGAGGGGGAGGAGGAGGAGGAGGAGGAGGCGGAGGAGGAGGAGGAGGAGGAGGAGGAGGAGGAGGAGGAGGAGGAGGAGGAGGAGGAGGATGAGGGGGAGGGGGAGGAGGAGGGGGAGGGGAGAGGAGGGGAGGGGAGGAGAGGAGGAGGAGGAGGAGGAGGAGGAGGAGGGGGAGGAGGAGGAAAACCTCCACCTCGAGCCTCCCGAGACGCCAGACGTCTGGGCCCTGCCCTCCGACGCTGCCCCGAGAGGGCGGCGTGTCGAACACGCCCCGGCGCGCGCGGGCTGCGGCCACCGCGGGGCCCGCGGGGCCCGCCGGGGGAGCAGCGCGGCGGCGCGCGGAGAGCAGCCAGCGGGCACCCCGCGCGCTGTTTCCGCGCTGCGCTGGCCCGTCCCGATCTCTCCAGGCTGCATCGCTCCCTCTCTCCGTGCGTCAGTGCGTCCCCCGGGCCTCCCCCCTGCGTCCGCGCGCGCGCGCGCCTCTCTTGGAGCGCCCCCGCGTTTCTGGACGGCCCGGGCACTCGCCCCAGCTGCATTCCTGGGTCCAGGGGTCCTGATTGGTTTCATTTTGCCAGACACGTTCCCCAGCGATGGCGATGCACGATCCCAGGGATGCACGGCCCCGTACGCTCCAGGCGGGGCCTGCGCGCAGAGCTGCCCCTGTGCCCGTGGGAGCTCGGCCGAGGCCGAGGGCTAAGCGGGCCTCCCGCCCTCGGTGGGCCACCCGCGTGTCCGCGCGAAGGGTCTGCTGCGCCGGAGAGCACGAGGGGCCCGTGCGGCCGCCCCATCTCGTTTGTCGCGCGAGGGGGCGGCAGTGGCCAGAGCGGGCGCCATGGCTGCCGTGGCCTGCGGCGGGGGCGTTCTTTAGGAGCGTGCCCATGAGGCTTCAGACCCTCGAGGGTTCCTCTGTCTGATGCCACCCGAGGGTCCCTTGTCCGATGAAGCGAAAGATCCATGGTCAAGCCTCAACTGGCGCTCCACCAGCTTTTGGACCCTGGGTTCCCTGGTTGCTGCTCCAACGCCGTTCCCGTTTGTGCCACCGACTCGCCCGTGGAGAACTGTCCACAGAGGCGATGGGAAAGGAACAGAGCAAAGGGTACAGTCAACCCGCATAAGAAGGATGGGCAACCTTCCCAAGGGTACCCTTGCATCCTTGCCCCTTAGGCCCACCCTTAGTAGCGACGTTCGCTGGCCGGCCTCGTTCGAAAAACGTTAACTTGGGCCTGCAATGCCCGTGCTTCTTTGCCGCGTATCCTTATGATACGGATTGATTGTAAGGAAGAGAAGAGGGATGATGCTGCTGCTGCTGCTGATGATGGTGATGATGATGCTGATGTTGATGCTGATGCTGATGCTGATGATGATGACGACGACGATGATGATGATGGTGATGATGTTGATGATGATGCTGATGCTGCTGCTGCTGATGATGATGATGATGATGATGATGATGATGCTGATGCTGATGCTGATGCTGATGCTGATGCTGCTGACGATGATGATGAAGACGATGATGATGATTATGCTGCTGATGATGATGAGGAGGAGGAGGAGAAGGAGGATGATGATGGTGCTGAGATTGATGCTGATGCTGCTGATGCTCCTTTTTTGGGTTATGACTGATTGTTGCATATCTTGAGAGGAGAGGAGCAGGAGGAGGAGGGGGAGAGGGAAGGGAAGGCGGAGGCGGAGGGGGAGAGGGGGCGGCGGATGGGGCAAATCGATGGGGAGGGGGAGTAGGAGCGAGGAGGAGGAGGAGGAGAGGAGGAGGAGGAGGAGGGAGGAGGAGGAGGATGGAGAGGAGGAGGAGGGGGAGGAGAGGGAGAGAGGAGGGGGAGGAGAGAGGAGGAGGAGGAGCGAGGATGAGAGGAGGAGGGGGAGGAGGATGGAGAGGCAGGAGGAGGGAGAGGAGGAGGAGGAGGAGGAGTGAGGTCCCCCCGGAGGAGGAGGCAGGAGGAGGGAGGTGGAGGGGAGGAGGGAGGAGGGGGAGGAGGAGGAGGAGGAGCGGAGGAGGAGGGAGGGAGGTGGAGGAGGAGGAGGTGGAGGAGGAAGAAGAGGAGGTGGAGGAGGAAGAAGAGGAGGAGGAGGAGGAGAGGGAGGAGGAGGAGGACTAGGAGGAGGCGGAGGAGGAGGGGGAGGAGGAGGACGAGGAGAAGGACGAGGAGGAGGAGGAGGACGACGAGGAAGAGGACGAGGAGGATGAGGAGGAGAGGAAGGTGAGGAGGGTGAGTATGATTGTACCCAGATGTCCCCCGTGCCCTCGAGGAGCGCTGGGAGGACGCCGCGGTCTTCTCGCGTGCGGTCAGCCGCGCCAGCCGCCTGGTCTACCCCGCCGCGTGGCCCGTGGTCGGGCTCAGCCTGGCGAGGCTGGCCAAGCTGGAGCTGTACCACTGCCGCTTCGCGGCGGCGGCGGAGGCCGGGGAGGAGGCGCTTCGGCTGCTGACGCTCTCGCAGGAGGAGCCGAGGGGCAGAGAACGGCACTGGTCGGCTACACGTGCAGTCAACCCGTATAATTTGAGGGAGTTTCTGTGGAACTACCGTCATCCTCACCCCCGGCGCGGGGAGCACAGGGGCCCAGAGCGGCCTCCGGCACCGTTTCCGGACAGATCTGGTGGATCCGGTGGATCCGGTGGATCCGCCGACGAATCCCAAACCGGCGCCCTCGCTTGAGACATCCTCACAAAACCGGCCCCGGGGGAGGTGCCCAGAGGATCCCAGAGCGGCCTCCGGCATCGTTTCCAGACAGATCCGGTGGATCCGGTGGATCCGGTGACGAATCCCAAACCGGCGCCCTCGCTTGAGACATCCTCACAAAACCGGCCCCGGGGGAGGTGCCCAGAGGAGCCCAGAGCGGCCTCCGGCACCGTTTCCGGACAGATCCGGTCGGAGCCGGTGGATCCCGGTGGATCCAGCCGCGAATACCCAAACCGGCGCCCTTCGTTTGAGACCATCCTCACAAAAACCGCCCCGGGGGGAGGTTGCCCAGAGGATCCCAGAGACGCGCCTCCGGCACCGTTTCCGGACAGATCCGGTGGATCCGGTGGATCCGGTGGATCCGGTGGATCCGCCGACGAATCCCAAACCGGCGCCCTCGCTTGAGACATCCTCACAAAACCGGCCCCGGGGGAGGTGCCCAGAGGATCCCAGAGCGGCCTCAGGCACCGTTTCCGGACAGATCCGGTGGATCCGGTGGATCCGCCGACGAATCCCAAACCGAACCAGAGATCGTGGCCGAGGGGCCAACAATCATGAGCCAGAGGTCCGCTTTGGGGGCTTCTTCCAAGGCCACCGCCACCTCCAACGCCACCACTTCCACCACCATTCCCAGTACCACTATTGTCATTTAGGTGGATTCATAACCTTATATGGGACTCACTCGAATCGCGCCATGAATGTGTACCGAGCATGTATTCTGAATTATCAATAACCAATCTAACACACTCGAATATTGTAATTTAGTTAGGCTTCTGAATTTTGGGGGCACATCGGCAATGCGTTCGTTTCCCCTTCCAAAGGGGGGGGGGGATAGGAGTGCCACGAGCGCACTTAGCTTGGCTCTTCCCTCTTTCCTTGCTCTTTATTTGCTCACTCTTTGCCCTTATCTTCCCTCCCTCTTTCCCTTCCTTGTTCCTCCCTCCTCGTTCCTCCCTCTTTTCCCTTCCTCTTCCAGCCCGTTTGCCCTCCTCTTTCCCTCCTTCTTTCCCTTCCCCTAATTTTTCATCGCCCCCTTCCACCCCATCTCGGGCATTTCTCCGCGTTCTGCGGCTTTCGCGCCAGGCGCTGGGAATTGGGTGGATCACCCTGCCCCTGCGAGGAGGAGGGGGAGGGGGGGGGAGGAGGAGAAGGAGGAGGAGAAGGAGGAAGAAAAGGAGGACGGGGAGGACAGGGGGGAGGAGGGAGCAGGGAAGAAGGAGGAGTAGGAGGAGAAGGGGGGGAAGAGGAGGAGGAGGAGGAAGAGGGGGAGGAGAAGGAGGAGGACGAGGAGGAGGGGGAGGAGGAGGGGGAGAGGGGGGAGTGGACAACGAGGGGAGGAGGTGGAGGAGAACGGGGAAAAGTACGAAGATGACGACAATGATGACGACGAAGACGGGCAGCAACAGCGGCGGCAGCAGCCGTGGTGGCACCGACGACCAGGCCTGTGACAACGCCGCCCAGTGGCCCATTGGGCCGCGCTGTCGCGGGCTGGGTCGTCGCCGCCGCCACCCCGGGGCCAATTCTTTTCACGAATGCGTGCACCTGTCTGCGATGTCACGCTGCACAGATCTCTGAGCTGTACCTCGAGTTCTGCACATGTTATGCTGGGAAAGCGCGATGCTCTGCACTCTGGGTTCCTGACTTGTTTTCTTCAGCGTCAACCAAACAATCTATTGCAAATCCACTCCAAATGTTTTTATTGCCAATCTATTACAAGGTAACTTGCAACGTTAGGTATTCCAATGCCGACACATAGGAGAACTTGCAGTTGATTTCCTCCGTATCCATCAAACAATATATTGCCAGATCTTGCCAATCGATATGTTTTCATTGAGTAGTGCCAATCTATTGCAAGCAAACTCGCAATGTTAGGTATTCCGATGCTGATGCATAAGATGTCGAAATCGAAGTCGAAATAGTACGCACCACTGCCATTGTCAATCATAAGCTTGCCTGTTGGACTCTCTGCGCCTCGTTGTCAATCATGCGCATCATCGCCTGTCTCTCGGATCGTGCCAGAACCATCTCGTATGCCAAATTGAACGATTGCCCGCCCAATTCAATGGCGAGCTCAGTGTCCGTGAGGTGTGACAAAACATTGAGCGTCGTCTGGCCGATGTCTACTTGATCTCCTTTCCACACGATGTCATCTCTGAACCTGGATGGTACCAACATGCTTGCCATCACAGTAGTTTCTGGCGCTGCGATGTATGACAACTTACTGCCTGACGCAGTGGGGACGTAGTTCCGACAAAAAGCTTCAGCCACTATCAGTTGACGCTTGACCCTCGTATCTGGTGCTTGATGCTTCGGGCTATTAAATGCTGGATGCCAGAACTCTGGGCAATATCTCGTTGGGAAAACCATGATAACCATTCCTGTGTTAGA